GTCTCTGCCTCCCGCTTCGGCCGCTACTTAAACGTGTTGTATACGGGTCAGTCGGGTGTTGTGCTGTCTCGTCGTCCGTGTTCAGGTTGAACTGGGATCTGTATAGGTGAATAATCTGGGTGAGGGTTGCTTCAATGGCCTGAGTACACCACCAACCAACCAACCACCACGAGGGATCACATGCGAAGTGAGAAAACCATGCAAATTTCATTCAGCACCAAAAACACTAAAAGTAGAGTCAAGACATATGTATATGTGTATATATGTATGTACGCAATGTATACGGATCAGAGTCTGGTATCCTACACTCTTAGGAAGAAGAAATATTTCAAACTCCATGATCCGCTTGACCCGATTGCCTGAACCCCCGTCCTATCCCATCCCATTCCGAAAAAAAAAACCAATGCCATATGCCCTCCTGATGCCCAACTCCAGCTAGACATTTGAAATAACGCAAACACTCCGCCAAGAATCATTACTTCACCTCGACGCTCGACCTCCCGTCTACGCCGACGACACCCTCATCCTGCTCATCCATCCACGCGGAATAATCGTCGTCGTTCTCGTCGACACCAGAGACATTCACCGGCTTAGCCGCAATGGGGTCCTCAAGCTTCGTCTCCCTACGCTGCGGTAACGGCGGTGGTGTTCTGCTCTTGCTCTCCTCTTCATCCTCTTCGTTTCCGTGTCCCTTCTTCTCGTCAACGACAACGCGATCTCGACCCCTCGTCCTCTCAACCCCAGTGCCCGTACCTCCTTCGCCGTCAGAGACGTCCTCAGCCCAGGGCTGAACATACGCCGGCGGAGGCATACTCTCCTCCATGGGCGTTGAGGGTTCTGAGTCGAGCGGCGCTTCCACAACCAACAAACTTTCGCCACCGCCGTCCGCGTTCTTGCTCGTGTCCAGATGACGCCGCGAGGGCAGGGGCGGAGGCGGCACGGGTCTGCGCTCCGACTTTCCCTCCGCCGTCGCCGCCGAGTGAGGGCGTTCAGGGAGATTGGGCGGCGCAATAGGTTTCCGCTTCGGCACAGGAATTGTCGTCACCTTGGAGCCTCTGACAGGCGGAGGCAACGGCGTACCAGGTGGAGGCAGAGGCTGACCCCTGCCCATCGGCTGGTTGAGGTCGAGCGGGGGATTCTGCTCCGTCGAGGCGCCGTTCTTGGCGTCCTTGTGCTTCTGTATCGCATTCCATCCCCACTGCCTCGCCGTGACCGCAGCGTTGGCGACGGCAGCGAGCGTCGTGCGCTTTCCCTCGCCGTTTGTCGATGCAGTCGAGTTCGTACTTCCCGTGTTCTCTCTCCGGAAAAGGCCCTTGGAGATGGAGCCCGTAGCGCTTCTGACGGAGGCTCTTGAAGATGTGGTCGGTGAGTTGGGGTCAGTCGATTCGTTGTGGCGCATCGACTCCGAAGAAGAAGCTGTGCCACGGCGTTCCTTGGCCATTGGCGTACGATCCGTCTCGTTCTCATTATCTGTGGCTTCGCGCGAGGATGCGGAGGACTGGCTCGGCGCCTTTGCGGCGGGTGGTGGTCTGGCGGGTGTCTCAGAAGGCGTCGTCACCGGTGTTGACCTTGCAGACAGCGCTGCCATCATGCTGGATGCATGATCTGGTGGTGACGAAGAAGGCTTGAATACATCTGCATGCGCAGCATCGGTGCCGACCACGGGGTTTGCTGGACTCGATATCGATGGCGACCTGAACGGCTTAGGTATCGGCGTCGCGGTGGTAGGTGAGCCCATGGCATCAACACTAGTAGAGGAGCTATTCAAGGGACTGTTTGGCCCCTTATTCTGTATCTTCCTGCCGAACAGGCCCGTCGGCGGTGTGTTCTCAACGATCGGCATACTGTGGCTCTTTTCGATCGGTCTCATGTCGCTTTGCACATCGCCCGTCTCTTCGAGGTGATCGACCCCCTCCACATCGCCCTCTCCAGCCATGTTGGTCTCCGTGCTAAGTGAGCTGACAACCGCATCGTCGTCGTCCCAGATTCCGCCCCGCCATTTCTTGTGCTCCGTGTTGAAGAAGGGCATGTCGTCCCAGAAGGGCTGTACCAGAGTCTCAGCGATAACCTCTTTGATCCGGTTCTCAATCTGTCGTAAAATAATAGTGTATGTAATTTGTCTCGCGCTAACAATCGGCTCGATTGTCATTTCAATCTTTGGCATGCTGTGGAATGACAACCATATTCTGTTACTTGGCGGAGGCTTGATTTTGAATAGCATGTGGCCCTCGAGCTTCTTGATGACCACTGCGAGAACGAGATCGACCTCGCGGACTTTGAAGCGTGCGCCCAAGTCGATGCGGGCTGTGGCGGCAACCTCCATTCGGAAATTGCCCGTATACCGCACATCGGCCTCCATCACGCATTCTCCCTCAACATTCAGATCTTTGTGACGCGGGTTCGTGATTATAGGTGCAGACTCGCCGGTGTCGATGCGGCGAATAGCAATGTTGGTGAGAAACGAAGGCCGCTTGACACGGGCAATCTTTTTGGTGAGCTTCTCACGGATGAAGTGCTCGAGGTCCGTCGTCCTGTAAATGCCAAGAAACACACGACCGATCATGGCATTCAACCACCTCGTGGATAGGTGCTCCTCGGACGAGTGTAGCTTCTGGACCAGTGCAATTATGTTCTTGACCTCGAACTGCTTCGGCCTGGGCGCCTTCCTCTCAGCGCCAAAGTTTTGCTCCTGGTTCCGGAGCATGGCAAAGTAAAAGTCCTCCTTGGCAGAACAATTCTCTGAGAAGAGGTAGAAGGGCTTGGACAGCTGGCTGTCCGGACCGACCTCGGGCCCATCTGACCTCCTCGACAAACACAGCGCATTCCTCTTGATGTAAAGCTCGCCTTCTGGTGTGACATCTCCTCCCGAGTATATGCTAATGTCGTGGTGCAACAGGGAGACTACGTGCCGGACCTCGAGTTGTTCGTCATCGTCAAAAAGCATCAGATGCCCGTGTCTGTGGTAGGTTAGTCACCGATGTAGACAAGCGGTTGCAAACGGGTCGCAAGGGGGGTCGCAAACCTCAGTACGACATAGAACACGTTACCAGCGTTCTTGGGGCGCTGGCTCAGCCCGTTTCTGTTATCCAAGGGTCCTGGCGTCGGTTTCCGCTCGAATATGCTCTTGTACATGGTCTGATAGACGCTCTGGCTCGGCGCGGCGACGGTGGTCGAGCCAGTCGGGGTGGACCTCTCGATGGGCTTCGCGTTGATGCCCATAGGAGTGTACTCTCTGCACACAGCAAAGTACCCTGCGGCGACGTCGTTATCCTGCGCCGAGCGCTTCGTGGCCGCCGCTGTAGCATCGTCCTTTGCCGCGGCCTTCACGGCTTCGAGAGCGGTGAGGTCGTCGCCGGGCTGGACGATGGAGGCCGGACCGCCGGCAGCGGTAGCGGCGTCAACAACTGAATCGCGATTCGTTTCGGCATCCTGTCGGTACGGGAGGGTAAAGTAGGCGTGAGCGAAGACGGTGAGGATCACCAAGGGCAGGAAGGTCAGGCCTCCCAGGAGGTAAGTGATGAGGAAGCCGGTCCAGCTCCCCATCGCGCGATTCCCAGAGCTTTTGCCGAATTGTTTCCCTCTCGCACTTTGTCTGAACTCCTCACTCTTCGCGCGGCACTTGTAGCAGTGCTGCTAACGGAAGGACAGCAGAGGGAGAGGAGAGATAGGCGGGACCATCAGCGCTTAGGTCGTTTACGAGACGAAGAGTGTTCGGGCGGGGGAGGGTCGTATTGGATCGGGAGCTTGTGACGGCGGTTGGTGGTGGTGTTGTTTGTGGAGAGAGGGAAGCTCTTTGTTTCAGGATGGGCAAGTACACGGAAGCTTGGTGTGCTGTTTGGAGGCTCAACTATTCGGTAACTTTTTTTTTTGTGTGTGGTGGACAATAGAAAGTGGACAAGATAGCTTTCGTGGATCTGGGTCTTGGCCACAGGGCGTTTCTGGATCGAGAAAATGGATCAGGTAAGACAATAGAGAGAAATGCAGGTCACTGGGAACCTTTGGGATGGATGTCCAATAGGCCGCTCTGACGCCGTCATGTGATGGTAATGGTAGCTTTGCGGCGTCCCTTGTGAAAGCTGGCAGCAACAGGCGAATGGATGGGACGGAGAGAGAGAGAGAGAGAGAGAGAGGGTTGCAGCACTACTCAGCAGACCAAATGTTAACGGAAGACAGGAGTACAGGAGATGGTTCAGGGCGGATCGAGAGCCAAGGCGACCTAGAAGCTGTTGAAGAGAAAGTATGAAGTGGCCTTACGGTGTGCCTTCCAGATTGCCCGAATGTGGGGAGTGAGGTGGAAAGTGAAGCGGTAACCACTAAGCTGAGGGTTCCGAGTGACCCGCAGACCGCTGTTCCCTACCATCTACGGGCAAGTCTCCAAGACTCCAAATGCCCTGTGGGCTGTGGCTCTGGCCCCAATCTAAGGTACGGTCGAGCCGGTAATGAGCATCCCTGCACCTCATCTTTCCTAGGAACCTTTTACCCCGCGAGAAACATCGAGAGGGGACCCCTGGCGAACAGTGAGGTCACTAAGCAGTAGCTCGTGCGAAGTAGCACTGAAAGAGTTCGGCTCTTGGATCGCTTTTCTCCATCTCCTCACGATGTCATCAGTCAGTCAAGAAACCGCCATCTCTACCTTACGTACATGCGTCTGATAAGTGTGTGCTTGCATGTCGCCTCTACGAATACCGATACTCCATTCTATGTACACCGAATCGGACGGAGCCGTGTCCGTCCAATCCCATCCACCCACCTTACTCAAAACAGTGGCCTGCCCTTGCCGTGACATCATAACTTCCTTATCAATCATAATCATTCTATCTGCGAGAGGGCCGTAGCGCTATACCCGCCCCATCATCTTTAGACCGATCACCGACACCAACTTTACTGTGTAAGATATCCAGCCTCCATGGTATTATCCAGCCAAACACCAAAAATGACAACAGCCACACCCGTAACCCCCGTAACAAAAAAACCCTGTATCCGTTCACAATTGTACAGAATCACCACTCCAACGCGGCTCTCTCAGCCTTCGCAACCAACTCCCGAATGACAGGCTCCAGCGCGCTCTTCTCCGTCTTCAGTCGCGCGCTCTGCTTGACCCGCGAGTAAAACACGGGACAGTCCTTGCTGTCGCACGGCACCTCGTCCGCCGCCGGTAGCGCCGAGCAGCTCCGGCAAATCCTCACCACGTCCATGTACTTTCTCTCCTCGTCCTTGAGTCGCGTCTGTAGGTTGAATAGCGAACTCGGCGCGTCCTGCTGGCACTTCCCGCACAGCACGCCCTCCACCTGCATCTTGATATTACATGAGATGCACGACGCCGATTTGAGGTACGACTCTAGCGTCTTCTTGCTGCCGAGCCCTCCAGCCGCTCCCAGTGTTTGGTCTACCCGCCGGATTCGCTGCACTTTGGGCATCTCGTCATACCACTGCCGGACATTGGCGCCAACCAGGTTGAAGATCCTTTCCAGCGGCGGGATCAGGTTCTTGGAAATGTAGTACTCCGCATCCAGCTGCGAGTGCGAGTCGTTGAGCAGATCTTCGGGCGCTACGCACCGGTCGATCAGTCGCGCCCCCGGAGCACCCGTGATAACGACGTACGGCACCCGTTCTCCGTACTGCGGCTCCGCGCGCGCGTCTTCGAGCATCTTCTTGGTGCTGATGAGCGCACCCGGTGGCGGCGGGCCCTTGTCGCTGTATGTACCGAGCTTCACCTCCCTCGCGTAGCAAAAGTCCTGTACGGAGACGGACCCGCGCATAATCTTTTCGCACTGCTTCTGGAAGTAGGCCTTGACCTCGCTCAGGTTCGCCGTCTCGAAGAGGAGCTTGAGGGCCTTCTCTTCGATCTTTTGCTCTGCCGGCGTGCCATCGCGCCTCACCGTCTCAATGCCTTTGGCGTCGAACTCGGGCTTGACCTGATCCTTGCTTTCGTATTTGTAACCAACGTAGCGCTTCTTCGCCAGGAGAACACACGGGTGATATACCTTTTCAAACTTGAGCTTGATCGGTCTGGGGTTCATATCGGTGATGGCTTTGGCAATTTCGTTGCCAATGTCGAATGCCTGATCCTTGGTCCGGCCCTTGAGATACACGAACAGACTGTCCGTGTCGCCGTAGACGACCTCCGCTCCCCATTGCTCCTGGGAGTGAATGAACGCAATCGCTCGCTCAAGCGTCTCGCGCCCTGTCTGAACTATACTGTCGGCAATCTCCGAGCAAGGCATTCGACCGGAGAAAGATGCCGATGTGTATCCATAGGTAACGTTAGCCAAAAGCTTCAGCGCCAGCTGCCTGTTATTCAGCAGCGCCTGCAGCGTTTTGTCGTCCTTATCTTGCTTCATCCCGCTCTTGACCATGACTCGGGTCTCCAAAATCTCACCAAGCATCTTTGCGAGGAGAGATTTCCGAATCTCGGGTCGGACGTACATCATTCCATTGGGTGTGATGTTGATATGGTCCTTTAGGAGCTCCAGCAGCCTCTTGTGCCTCTGATACTCGGTGAAGCCCATCTTGTTCATCCCCCGCCAATTGACAATCCTACCGAGGAATGTCGAGTAGCACAGATTATAGGCAATCATGACACTGGGGTACAGGCTCTGAAAGTCGAGCACCAACAGCGGACTGTTGTAAAAGTCGCTTTGGGGCTCCATTACCAGCGGGAGACATTCGAGGGCGTTTTGGCCGCCAACCTGCTTCCGACTGGGGGAAACCAGCATGAAGTTCTCGGGTTTCGCAATCCTGAACATGATGGACTCGACCTTGAATTGAGAGCCGCGGGAAAAGACCGAGAAGAAGTCCACTCCCAACAGTCTGGCCTGTTCACTTGTTCTCGGGATGAGCTCGTTTGACTCCAATATCTGAATATCGATCCTCGTTCGTGTCAGGTAGTAGCGCGTCAGTTTGTCGAGGTCCCTCTGTCTACTGCTATTGTACCATTGTGTCAGGGTTCTCCAGGAGTAGTGAGGTATGCGGCGGTGCAGAACGTGCCAGACGACATTTTCCATCGTATATTGAAGCAGGTTCAATTCTCCCCTCATGGCTCGCCAAATGTTGATCATATGTCTGCCAGTCACGCGGATCGTTGACGTTGTGTTAAAGCCCCACCGATCATTCTCCTTTCCGATACGGCCATGAGAGTTACTCTTCATACGTGAAAACTCGTCGCACAGATCGTAGTCGTACTTTACTCGGGCTCGTTCGATGAGATAGCCCCATGAGCTGCCGTGAACCTCATAACCTGTAAGGATATCAGGGTCGTGGTCTCTGACAATTTGCACCATGCGAACCATGACATCGAGTTCGGAGGATTCCTCAATAACCTCTGCAGAAACATAGCGCCGCATCCTCTGAGCGAGGGAACCGTCTGGCGATAGGACAACGACACCAGCAATGATTTCCCCTGAAGCTTCCTGACTACTGCTGGCAGTGCCATCTGCTTTGATAGACCAGAATATGCACTGGACCTCATCCTCGTCAGGATTAGGAACAAATTTGCCCCTCGTGTTGACGTGAACCTCGAGGGCCATAGTGCTCATGTATTGCGCTTCATGCTTAACACTGGTCGACTTTTTCTTGGGCGAGTATTTGAAGCCATGCTTGTTCTTCGGGGTAGGTCCGTCAATCTGGGAGAGGTCGCGCCTTGTAGCTTGAGGGGTGCCTGTGAGCTTTGCAGTAACGCTCTTTTGCGCTTTCTGAAGGGGATGTTTCTTGTTCCACCAATCTTGAACTTCTTTTGCGCTTGGAGGCGGTTGAGCTATCTCCCAGCTTCGGTATGAACACAAACTTGCTTGGGCGTTATAACGCACGTCGTTCTTGGCCTTGTCAATGGGTGTGTCTGTTTTGACGCCCACACTGGCGGCAGATGTTCCAGTTGGATCAAACTCTGCCAGATACGGTAGAGTATTACTCTCGAGCCGAAATTCCCGACCGGCATACTCCCTAGGACGAGCCGGAACATCCCTCTCTTCGCTATAGTAGGCGTCTTGGTAAATCATATCAGGAATTTGTAAGTCCTTCATTGTCGACGTGACAAGCTTTGAAGCGGGAGGCAGGAAGCCGATCACACACTGGCGCTTTGCGGAAAAGGATCCGATCGCTGTCTGTATCCGATGGAGAATTGTTTCTGTTCCTGCTTCGGTCTCTGGTGAATCAATTGTAGGAGTAGCGATTCGGACCTTCTTTGCTGGAGTGACCGGACTGGGCTTGGTACGTGTCTCCTCCGGTGCTAAACTGAAGGAAACATGTTTTTGAGAATCTTTTTCAGCTTGTTGCGAGGCTCGGGGCTGATTCATCTGGCTCAATCGAAGTTTCGTTCCCGGGTCCTCCTGGCTTTTGACTACTGGAAAACCCAACAGCTGATTGGCCGCAGATTTAGAGCCTGTATTTTGAGATGACCGAGGCTTGTCTTGAGAGTTTGGCGGCAACATCGTGACTTGATGCTTCTCAGAAGCTGTGCTGTTACTCAGGATGCCTTTGAGTGACGGTTTGGGTACCACTACATTGGACGCCGCAGTGACTGGAGGTTCAGTTCTCGGGCGTTTGGTAGAAGGCGCTGTCGCATACGGAGATATTGATCGTTTGGCCGATTCCGTACGGCGGTGACCTAAGCTTGATGGGTCGCTGAGTTTGGACACAAGCCCTTCCTCTTCGGCCATATCGAGCAGATCGTCCCAAACCGGTACCATTGGTGGGTTGCCGGTCTTCAACCTACTGACACATACGCCTTCGTATATAGATCCCAGCCCGTTGACGGTCTTCTTGACTGTCAGATTGCCAGCGACGGTTTCTCTTTTGGATCCGGTACCACTAGTGACTAATGGCCTTCCATCAATACCAGTGCCATTGATCTGATCATCCTGCCTCGCCTTCGGCTCGCCCATCTGAATGAGAGCTTCTTCGTCAGAGTCGGCTGGATAAGGGTCATAATCGTCAACACCGAGATCGAGTACACCCTGTTCGTCAACTTCGATGCTGCTGGCTGGGTTCTTGTTTGCCGGAGCATGGTTTGACGGCAGTCCAAGAGCCGGTAACAGGTTGGCGGGATACAAATCTTCTACTGACTGAAGCGCGGTCTTCACGGCAGCCTCAAGCGGCGAATGCTCCACAAAAGTTTCGAAGCTTGGCGGCGCGGAGTCCTCCAACCCCTTTTCGGTTTCGATGAGTTTTGCGACTTCTTCTTTGTACTCCTCCTCGTGGATCCATCCTTGCGGTTGCGAGTCGCGTTTATCCGCAGACATTGAGACCAAAACTTCTGCCGGGAAAGGGCTGCTACCTGGGTCCGCATTGGGCATTTTCATTTTGCGGCGACGCGTCTCGTCTTTCCATAGACCAGCCATACTGTAAACAAGCTTGACATCTGCTGGGAGAGGTTTAACATGCTCAACAAAGTCGTGATGGAGCCGGCGCTCCTTCACCATTCGCCGGTTAATAATGTGTTGAACGCAAATGTCTACCTCAATGGAGCAGTGGCTGACCCTCGGCAGAGTCAGGTCGTCGAGGACTCGAGTCTTAGGAATCGTCCGGTCATGCCAGATGTGTTGAGAGTTCCCCTCTTGGTCAAACGAAGGGATCGGGCCTCTGAAGTATACATCAGAGACATCCAAGTAGCCACACCCGTACAGATTATAGTCGGTCATGAACTGTAGTAAGTACTGGAGATGAGCTTCGTAAGGTTGGAACTTTTGCTTGAGAATGACTCCCTGTTGGAGCAAGTCGGATAATCTTGTCATGACGATGGGGTTGAACATGTAGATCTTCAGAAAGAAGCGGTATCCAACGTGGAAGCCATAGAATGGCACCCCTTTGACGAGGGTGATGCGGGCGACGAACTTTGCATTTTCTCCGAATTGATCACGTCGGTAACTGACAGCTAAGGCATGATCAATGGAGAGATGAAGTCGATAGATGTACGCGCCCACTTGTAGTAATTAGCAAGGCCCATTATATGGTTAGAGGACTTATTCACCATCTTCGGGCTCTAAGCTGCCACGATACTCGACGTAGACGTATGGGAAAGCGCCGTGTATGTGAGCGCAGACTTTCTGTCCCGTTTCTGTCGAACCGAAAATCCTCACAACTGGAACCTTGGGGCCTTTCTTCGCCTGCGCAGGGCCGACATCATTCCGTAATTGGGGATCGTAATGCGTCGGCGTCGCCTGGTAGTGGTCTATGCAGTTCAACCGAACGCGGAAGAGGTTCATGGTGGAGGCTGTAAACACTCATGGAGGATGAGATGGTAGAATGGAGAACAATATCATGATAAGGAAGGGAAGCGGCCGGCTTGGTGCATGGTCAGACGGGTTCAATGGCACTAAGCAGCGAGTTCAAGACGCGACAAGGTCATGTTGATGCAAGATCCGACGCGTGCTGGGCCAAAAGGGAACGCCCAGGGTCCGCGCAGTCATGTGGCAACACGCGTGACTTAGTGCAACTTCGGTACGCTGTCCTGCCTGGCCATCTTCCACTAGGTAAGGCAAAGTACCTTGGTTGTGGGGCATTTTTCAGCATATCTCACTGAAGCGTCCCGGAGGCTTAAGCACCTTCAATCATAAGGTCGCCGCCATTCGTCCATTACTCAGCCATGAACTTGCTGGAGGATGCACTTGAAGCTTTTGATATTGGTTTAATTGCAATAGCCAATGTGAAGAGAAAATGGACTTTCTTTAGAAGGGCAAAAGGTCAATTTGATGCTTGAATCTACGCCATCCTAGCCATTCTTGCGATGTGAGAGCGGTTGATTACATAAGACGCAGCAGCACCTGTGCTTTTCCAGACCCAAATTCGCGACGTGAATGCGCCGTCGCCCGAACTTTCTCTGACACCAATCCTCTCATACCCTCACGAACCGCCAAGATGCCGCCACCACCACCGCCGAGAAAGACCGATCCCAAGGCGTCTGCCGCTGCAAAGGAGGAGAATATCTACATTCCCTCTTTCATCAGTAAACGTCCCTTTTATGCCGGCGAAGAAGGCGATGATCAGACCGACTACCTTGAGCATCAGCGTATTCAGAAGAAAAATGAGCAGTCACAATGGTACGATCGCGGTCGCAAGGCCGGCCCGGCAGCTACAAAATACCGGAAAGGCGCATGCGAAAACTGCGGCGCCATGACGCACAAAGCCAAAGACTGCCTCAGTCGGCCGAGGGCGAAAGGCGCAAAGTGGACCGGCAGGGACATTCAGGCCGACGAGGTCGTTCAGGACGTCAAGCTTGGCTGGGATGCCAAGCGTGATCGCTGGAACGGATACGACCCCAAGGAGTATCGAAACGTCGTCGAGGAGTTCAACGAGATGGAGAAGCTGAGGAAGCAGGCGCTTGCCAAGGGCGAGACGGAGGAAGAGGAGCAGGACGATGGCGATAAGTACGCAGAGGAAAATGACATGAGCAAGCATCAAAGCACAGCTACGCGACAGCTGAGAATACGAGAGGACACGGCAAAGTACCTAGTCAACCTGGACCTGGAATCCGCAAAGTACGACCCGAAGACGAGATCCCTCGTGGACGGCGGCGCAACCGTGGACAAAGCTGCGAATCTTTTTGCAGAGGAAGGCTTCATGCGCGGCTCAGGCGACGCCGGCGAGTTCGAGCAAGCACAGCGATACGCCTGGGAGGCCCAGGAGAAGAGTGGTGACACGACGAAACATTTGCAGGCCAACCCCACGGCTGGAGAATTCTACAGGAAGAAGGAGAAGGAAGAGGCTGAGAAGAAGCGTGCGGAGCGAGAGAAGAAGCTCAAGGAGCTATACGGCGACAACTCGCAATACGCCATGCCCGACGAGCTCAAGAACGTCATTACGGAGTCGGAGAAATATGTCGAGTACGACGAGAGCGGACTCATCAAGGGCGCGCCCAAGGTTATCGCCAAGTCAAAGTACCCCGAGGACGTGTACATCCACAACCACACCTCTATCTGGGGCAGCTGGTGGTCAAATTTTCAATGGGGCTACGAATGCTGTCACTCGGTGGTCAAGAACAGTTACTGCACGGGCGAGGAGGGCAAGTTGGCTTGGGAAGCTTCTGAACGGCAACGTACTGGTGCTTCATTGGCGCTGCAGATGGAGCAACAAGCAGAGATCCCAAAGGCGGATGACACTCCGGTGAACAAGCCGGCGACGAAGCGGACAGCGGAGGAGATGATGGGCGGCGTCACGGAGGAAGAAATGGAGGAGTACAGGAGAAAAAGAACAGCGGCGAACGACCCGATGGCCAAGTTCCTGGGCAAGGATGAATTGGTCTAGACTACCTAGGTATTCAGGCATGGCTTATGAGCATTGCATTGGACAAACATGATACCCATTTCCCTGTCAAACGTTCGCATGCAAGACGATGCCTCGAGGTGCCCTGAACTGAACAAGAAGAAGACTTTTGTGTAACATTCATTCGTGGTATCCGTATTTGATGCAATCATTCCATTTTGCCTCTGGCGAACGCCGTGACTATAAACACCCCGATGATCCCAATGGTTGGCTTTCGGTGTGCCAACCATTCCCAGAGTTTTTTTGACCAATCCTTAGCATAAATGGCGATGCATTTACTCGTCATCCTCCTCGTCGTCACCACCGTCACCCTTGGACTCGGCGGCAGCAGCCTTCTTTCTGCGGACACGGCCGGGGCGGCCACCACCGAAGGGCGAGGTAAGAGCGAAGTCGATGTGCTTCTGGGAGTCGAGACGGACGATGAAGGAGGGAACGTTGACGATCTGCTTGCCGACGCGGATGTGACGCTGGCGAATGAGGACACGGGCGTGGTGGATGGACTTGGCGAGACCGAGCTTGTAGACGCAAGTCTGGAGGCGGCGCTCAAGGAAATCCTCGACCTTCAGGGCCAGGACGTAATCGAGCTTCATGCGGGACTCGTCGAGGACACCGACGCGCACGAGACGGCGAATGAGGGCATTGCCTTCGAAGAGACGCTTGGGGTCCTTCTCGTCGAGGGTCAAAAGCTGACTATAGTGGTTGTTAGCCCAAAGGATGCCCCCCACGCGACCATTTTGCGACAGCCAAAGGCACATACCGGGCAGCACGACGAATCTTGGAGAGGGTAAGCTGGACACGCCAGACCTCACGCTTGTTGCGGAGACCGTACTCGCCAACGAGCTTAAGCTCGGAGTCACTATTATCGTATCGAAGTCAGTGGTGTGATTCACGACTTAAACAGAGCAAGCTCTTGTTCAGTGGCCGGAGAATACTGACAGACGGGCGGCCTCGAAGGGACGGTTGGGGACCTTGGAGGTCTTGGAGTAGGTGAGGCTGTTGCGCGCAATCGAATTAGCATATTTGATTTGGCGATGAGACTGCGGTTCAGTCTACTTACGGCGCCATCTTGCCGACTCGTCGATATCCTTCGAATTGTGGTTGACGAAGAAAACGAAAAGGAAAAAAAGAAGAGCCTCTCGTGAAACTTGCAACACTCAATGCGAAAAATGGCTGTGGGGAGCGAGGGCTGACTAGCGCCTGTCAAATTACGGGTCCAGTTCGCCTACGGTCACGTGCAGTGCCCTTTCCACAACGAAAAAAGAATTACGGGACTGAGTCAGCAGAGCACACACACGTCGCCGATTTTTTGCCTTGCCCGTTGTGTCTGGAACTTCGTGATCTTTTTCAAGACCCGACAACACCATCACCAAATTCCGCCCTCTACGACAACCACTCCGGCAAAATGGGTCACCCAGCGGGTCTTCGCGCGGGAACGCGCGTACGTATTACCCAGCTTCGAATTATCTCGAGATTGCGGCTGGATTGCTGACGGTTAGCTTGCAGTATGCGTTCAGCAGAAACTTCCGTGAGAAGGGTATGATCAAGCTCTCCACGTACCTTCGCCAGTACAGAGTCGGAGATATCGTCGACATCAAGACCAACGGTGCCGTCCAGAAGGGGTAAGCGAACAACCCGCCCTCGAATTCGAATTGCGACAATTGGGAGACTCGAGGTCTTAGTTGGGAGGAATTGCGAAAATGGGCGTAAAGCATGCTGGAGCAGAGGGCTGACATGACGGATTACAGTATGCCTCACAAGGTCTACCACGGCAAGACCGGTGTCATCTACAACGTCACCAAGTCCGCCGTCGGTATCATCATCTACAAGAAGGTGAAGCACCGCTACATCGAGAAGCGCATCAACATCCGCGTCGAGCACATCTCCCCCTCCCGTTCGAGAGACGACTTCATCCGCCGTGTCAAGGAGAACGCCGCCCTGAAGAAGAAGGCTCAGGCCGAGGGCAAGGCCCTCACCCTCAAGCGCCTCCCTCTCATGCCCCGTGAGGCCCGTACCGTCGACTTCAAGGAGAACAAGCCCCAGACGGTCACCCCTCTCCCCTACGAGACGACGATTTAGAGTGTCTTTTGGGTGGTTTGTGGGTTCTTCTTTTGCATGTGGTGTTTACGTGAGGAACGGAAGAATTCTAGCATGGAATGGCATCACGTTTTCGGCAACGTCCATAGGGAATGGGAAAAAAAAAAGACCAATGACACTTCATCGTTCACACCTACACGAGGAAATGCTACCTGTGAGACCCGTTGGCCCTTTTGCGATCCTGCCGCGATGCCTCGGGTCCTGTCATTGTCAGGTCGGAGGCATTGGCACAGGTTCTGGTGTATGGTGTTGTGTGCTCGTGGGAAACAAGGTCAATGCGAGATGCCTGTGAAAGGCAGGCGAATAGTTGGCCCTGCTGCCCGCCGGGCCCTCATGATACCCTCAGTCAAATGAAGAACACGACCTATGATCATTTATCAAGTGCAACCATGAACTGATCTATCGTAGGAGCTGGTATATCAACAAGCTTATGTGAGACCAACTTCCGCAGTGAGTCTGAGCTGTGGGTATCCCGTGAGCTGATGGCCAGCAGAACTGTTCGACAGCAGTTGAGTGAAAAGCAACTGTCATGTGTCGAAGTCACACTCTCTACCATACAACAATTCTCGTCGTCCAGAACCGTCAAAAGCACCAGCTCGTATTGTCGGGCTCAGTCCTAGCCACTAACACGAGCTTGTGAATTCAAATCTGATACATGCAAATGCGCTCCTGTGGCTACGTTCAGAACCAAAACTAAGCCAGTGACCTTGCCCGTGTACCAGTTGCAACGCACTCATAAATCAATAGATCCTCTCAAGGTTATTTGCTGGTAACTAAGTCGTTGAATTACCTGAGAGAGCCATGCAATATCCCATCTTTCTTTAGAACCTAGCGAACGTCTACTGAGAGCGCAGGGGCCGTTTGGACCCAAATTGGTGGCATGAACCCCACCATTATCGTCATTGGATCAGATCGGACAGGCATCGGCCTATGGCTTCAGGTGCTTCGCCTGCGCTGGGACGCTGGAGGGGTGACACTGACACCGCCGCGTCCGCCGGATTAGCATTGTTCCAGATTTCATGCCCAACCTAAACCAAGTGGAGGATCGCAACGACGACGGCTTGGCGCAATCCCCGGAGCTTGCGCATGTTGCAGAACCCAGCCACACTCGAGCTGCTTTAGACATCTTGGGAGCTTGGTCAACGCTGACGACTCTTTCCCGCCTCTCCCACTTGGCACGGAAGTCGCTCACGATATCTTCTTCCCCTCCAATTCCTGCGAATCCTTCTCCCCCAGATCATTCGCTGGGCTTTACTGCGACTCTTGGGCAGCATTGCGTGCACGTGGAGCTCTCTCCTTAAGCCGTCGGGAGACGTCATTTCCTCGAACCATCCGAAACCCCCATTAAGCGCCCTTCACCTCCGACCACCATCAACGACCCCGCGCAGGAAAAATCGCCCATCATGGCTGCCGTGCCCGATACCAGGCATACCAAGTCCGTAATATTCAATCACATTGAGACCTTGTGGCCCAATCGAGGCTGTCTCTTGGCCTTTGCGACTGTGCACTGACACCCTGTGAAGGACCGACCAGGAGTTGGCGATCAACATCAAGAAGGCCACGAACCCCGATGAGACGGCGCCGAAGCGGAAACATGTGCGCAGCTGCATCGTCTACACATGGGACCACCGGTCTTCCCAGGCCTTCTGGGCCGGGATGAAGGTGTAAGTGAAAACCGTTGTAAGTCGGGAGGTCAACCAATCGCTGACAGAAGACGCCGCGTTGTAGCCAACCCATTCTTGCCGACGAAGTTCAGACTTTCAAAGCTCTGATTACGGTCCACAAAGTCCTCCAAGAAGGACATCCGAACACGCTGAGGGAGGCCATGGCGCAGAGAGGTTGGATCGACAGCTTGAACCGCGGTATGGGCGGAGAGGGAGTGCGCGGATACAGCCCTCTGATCCGGGAATACGTTTACTACCTCTTGGCGAAGCTTTCTTTCCACCAGCAGCATCCCGAGTTTAACGGCACCTTCGAATACGAGGAGTACCTCAGCTTAAAGGCGATCAACGATCCTAATGAGGGCTACGAGACAATCACAGACCTGATGACGCTACAAGATAAGATTGAGCAGTTCCAGAAGTTGATCTTCTCGCACTTCCGTCACGTTGGAAATAACGAGTGTCGCATTTCCTCTCTCGTGCCCCTCGTGCAGGAGAGCTACGGTATTTACAAGTTTATCACAAGCATGCTTCGCGCCATGCACTCGAGTAAGTTGCATCGGGCCCCCTCCCCCTGGGCGGACAAGGGTCATTTCGCTAATCGGGTACAGCCACCGGCGACGTAGAGGCGCTTTCGCCCCTACGAGAAAGATACGATGCTCAACATTACCGCCTCGTCAAGTTCTACTACGAATGCTCGAACCTGCGCTATCTGACCAGCTTGATCACGATTCCAAAGCTGCCACAAGACCCTCCCAACCTGCTGGCGGAAGACGACGAGGCACCTGCACTTCCGGCGCGCCCGAAGCAGGAAATTGAGAGACGCCCCACTCCACCCCCTGAACCGAAATCACAGGAGCCAGATGACATTTCCGAATTCTGGAAGAACGAGTTGGAGCGCCAGAACCGAGAGTACGAAGAGCAGCAGAGAGTCCTTGAGGAACAACAACGTCAGCAGATGTTGATGCAGCAGCAGGCGCAGCAGCAAGCGCAACGGGACTTTGAGGAGCAACAGCGGCAATTGGCGGAGCAGCAGCGCAGGGAGCAGGAGGCTCTGATGCAACAGCAAATGCAGTATCAGACCCAGGGTCGGCTTGCTGAGTTGGAACAGGAGAACTTCAACGCGAGAGCCCAGTATGAGCGTGACCAGCTTATGCTCCAGCAATACGACCAGAGGGTCAAGGGTCTGGAGAATGAGCTGGCACAGATCCAGGGGCATTACGGCCAGCAAATCACGAGCAAAGATGAGCAAATTAGAGCTCTACAGGAGCAGGTCAACACGTGGCGGACGAAGTATGAAGCGCTCGCAAAGCTGTACTCCCAGCTTCGCCACGAGCACTTGGATCTGCTTCAAAAGTTCAAATCTGTGCAGCTCAAGGCTGCCTCGGCTCAAGAGGCTATCGAGCGGCGAGAGAAGCTTGAACGTGAGATCAAGACGAAGAACCTCGAGCTCGCTGATATGATTAGGGAGAGAGACCGCGCACTCCATGACAAGGATCGCCTGCAGGGCGCCAACAAGGATGAGCTCGAAAAGCTCAAGCGAGAGCTTCGCATGGCTCTGGATCGTGCCGATAACATTGAGAGAAGCAAAGGAAACGAGCTCTCAACAATGCTGTCCAAGTACAACCGTGAGATGGCTGATCTCGAGGAGGCACTGCGACTCAAGTCTCGTGCTCTGGACGACGCCCAGGCCAAGATTAGGAATGGAGACTCAGACCTTGAGCAGCTTCTCCGCGACAAGGAGGAGGAGCTGGAAGTCTACAAGGCCGGCATGGATCAGACACTTATCGAGCTTAACGAGCTGAAGCTGAACCAAGGCGATACTGACACCGTTATTGACGGACAGATTGATGCCTTGATCATGGCCAACCTGGACAAGATCAACGATATCATCGACTCTGTGCTGCAATCCGGTGTGCAGAGAGTAGATGATGCGCTGTACGAGTTGGATTCAACTATGCAGGCCGGAAACCAGAACGCATCGCCATCCTACGTGCTCTCGCAGATTGAGAAGGCATCGTCCAGCGCCATGGAGTTTGCCACGGCATTCAATAACTTCATCGCCGACGGCCCCAACGCGACACATGCCGAGCTTATCAAGGCCATCAACGTCTTTGCTGGTGCTCTCGCGGATGTCTGCAGCAACGCTAAGGGTATCACCCGTCTGGCAACCGATGAGAAGAAGAGCGATGCTCTGATGAATGGCACCCGGCAGTCCGCTTCTTCTACCGTCAAGTTCTTCCGCGGCCTTCAGAGCTTCCGCCTGGAGGGCATGGATCCCATCCAGAAGACGGACGTTGTCATCAACAGCAACAACGAGGTGCAGATGAACCTTCAGAAGCTGAACAAGCTCGTCGAGACGTTCGCGCCCAACACCGGTAAGCTCGCGGGCAAGGGCGACTTGGGCGACATTGTCGATTCCGAACTCAGCAAGGCGGCCGATGCTATTGCGGCCGCTGCTGCTCGTCTCGCCAAGCTGAAGAACAAGCCTCGCGAAGGGTACTCTACCTACGAGCTCAAGGTCCACGACGGCATTCTCGATGCCGCCATGGCCATCACCAATGCCATTGCGCAGCTGATCAAGGCCGCCACGGTGACGCAGCAGGAGATTGTCCAAGCAGGCCGCGGCTCGTCCTCAAGAACCGCCTTCTACAAGAAGAACAACAGATGGACCGAGGGCCTCATTTCAGCCGCCAAGGCCGTGGCGTCCTCCACCAACACCCTGATCGAGACCGCAGACGGCGTCTTGTCAAACCGTAACAGCCCCGAGCAGCTCATCGTAGCATCCAACGACGTGGCAGCCTCCACAGCTCAGCTCGTCGCCGCCAGCAGAGTCAAAGCTGGCTTCATGTCCAAGAGCCAAGAGAACCTCGAGCAGGCCAGCAAGGCTGTCGGTGCTGCATGCAGGGCGCTGGTGCGCCAGGTGCAGAACATGATCAAGGACCGTAACGCGGAGGACGAGGCGGTCGACTACTCCAAGCTCGGAGCCCACGAGTTCAAGGTCCGGGAAATGGAGCAACAGGTACGTTTAATTGATTCGCGCATCGTGAACTATGCCAACTGCCGTGGGATGGTGGTGGCCGGAGACAACTCCGTCGCAGCCATCCTCGTCATTTGCGGCTAGTGCGTTGCTTGGCGACCGAAAGAGAAAAGAGAAATGCTGACGCGTGCGGCGCTACCACTTTTTAGGTCGAGATTCTGCAGTTGGAGAACTCCCTCTCGGCCGCAAGACACAGGCTAGGAGAGATGCGCAAGATCTCTTACCAGGAAGACTAGGGGGTTGCGACGACGATGACGTGAGCCACAGTAGCGGCAGTCGGT